ATATAATATCTATATTTAGTAATATCATCAGGCATCAAAATTCTTATTTAAAGATTGTGGTATAAAAATTAAAAAAATAAAAACTTATAATTTATTAAAAAAAAATTAATATCAATTTTAAAACTTTATATATTAATTTTTATATAATATATATTTTTAAAATTTAAATTAAATATTTCATAATATTTTTTAAAAAGGCTTTTAAACAAATCTACTTTCCATCAATCTACTTTTAAAAAAAGAAATTAAAAAAAAGGAGTTATAAAATATTAAACATATATTTAAAATATATAATCTTTTATATTGAATTTTTTTATTATATTATGATAATCAAAAGAAAAAAGATTATAAAAGATAATAATAATATTTTGTGAAATCAAACTTTTTAAAAATTAATAGTAAGCTATTATTATTTTATTTTTATATATATACCAATTTATTTTTAAATAAATAGATTAATAAAAATTTAAAAATAATAATATATTTAATTACATAAATTTATTAAAGTTTTTTTTATTTCCATATTTTCTATCAAATCTTGTAAAATAAACTAACATATAAAAAATCAAGCAATTACTACTATTTTTTTTAAGAATACATAATAATCAAGATTTTTAAGTAGAAAAAATATTAAAATATAGATGCTAGATATAGCTGCCAAACATACATAAAAATACCTTGATAGCCTTGATATAATACTAATTTACTCACATAGCATCTATTCAAGTGTCTTAAACTTATACCAAATAATATTTTTGGATTATAGAAACAACATGTATTTAAATTAAATAATAATTTTTAATAGTGATAGTAAGATAGTATATATATATATATATATATATATATATTTTATAATTTATTTTTATATAAAAAGTTAACAAGGTTGATCCTTTGATAAGATCAATAGTTTTTAAAGAATTATTAAACATTAAATTATTTATAATTACAAATATTGGCATAAAAGTTTCTATTAAAAGTAGTTAAACATATAATGCTATTATAAAATATTTATACTGCCAAAAAAATCTATCAAATCCACTTGTGAGTATTTTAAATATTATAAACAGTTTTTTAGTACATAATTTATGTTTTCAGATTTTTCAATGCTTGGAAGATTAAAAAAAAATAAAGATTTCTTAATTTCTTTTATAAGATCTTAAAAAAAGATATTTTTGAGATTTGAAAAAAAGTCAAATTCTTTGGTCATAATAAAATATTAACTTGATTTTGTGATATTAATAAACATAATGATAGAATATTTGCATTTTATATATATTCTTGAAAGATCAACTATCTCATTAAAAAGAAGTTAAAATATTTTGAAGTTAAAAGCTTTTCAATAAAGTCTGTGAATAGATGAATATGATTAACTTGAAATAGGTGACAATAAAACAGTCTTATACTTTTAGAAAGGGCTTTCAGTTTTTTCTTAAATATTGCAAGATTTCAGAATAGTTCTTATGCTTTTACATGTTTGAAGCCATTAAAACATTTCTCTAAATAACTTAGAAAGTTTAATTAAATCCAAAATATTTTTCTATCAGATAATCATGTTGAGCTTAAAAAAACATGTAACCACACTTGGTTTTTCAAAACCTATAAGCATGTTAGTAAAATTACTTGATTATATTTGAAATGAATTTACTGAATACATTTTAAAGCTTATTAGGTATTTAATTTATTTTATAATTTTTTATATTAAATTAAAGAAATAATTAATAAAAAAAATTAAAATTTAATTTTTTTTTGGTTGTATAGCTCAAAAATATGATTATTTTAAGTTTTAAAGGAATTGTTTGTCATAAACATAAGAATAAAAAAATATGTATTTATTTACTACAGTAAAAAACATAAGCATCTATATTAGTTTTTTTCTTTTTTCTTTTAGATAATATGTAATGTAGAATAAAAATTATTACAAAATCTTGCTATGAAAAGTTTTAAAAAGATTCAAAATATGTATTATGAAATACTAACTATTTATGTGGTTGATTTGTTTTAGATTAGAATCGCTATTAAAAAATTATCTTTTTTTTAAATGCAATCTTATAATTTCACTGAGTTATTTTCTATACATTTCATAACTGATTTAAAATAAAAATAAACTATTTAAGTAAAAGACATGATTATAAGTTGTAGCAAAACTAAAGCAAATTTAAAGTTATTATACTTTTTGTTTTATATTCACTAAAACCAAATTTAAGGCTTTGAAAAAAACTTTATAAGAGCTATAATAAAGTTTTATTTAAAATTCTAATCCCAAATCCTAAACTCCATATTTTATATAAAAAATAAATTACATAATTATAATGCTAATTTGATAAGAATTCATAAAAGAAATAAAATTTTATTTTGTAAGTTCTATATTATGTTAGATATATTTCAAATTTTATAATTTTTTTTAATCTTTTTTAATGTGTATTTTAATTTTTCATTATACATTATAAATAATGTATTCCAATTATAACTTAAATAATGTATTCCAATTATTTCATTTAAAGAACATTAAAAAAATTCCATTTTAGCATATTATTTTATGTTTTTGAGTTTTTTAGTATTAGTTAGTATACTTCGAATATTTTAAGAACTTCTAAGTAACACAAAATTTTACAGTTTTTATCTATAATATAATAAAAAACATCTAGAATATTCCTAGTGTAAAAGGTATAACATTTTTCTATATTTAGATGAAAATATATTATTTTCTTAAACTTTACATATAAATTAAGTTTAATATTCTTGGAGATTAATTTTAGTATGAAAAAAAATTAATTGATCACCTTAAATATTTTAAGTAAAGAATATTTACTTTCTACAGTAAACGTATTGATTCCATAATAATCTACATACAATTTTAATGATTCTTAATTTTATTTTTAGAAAGGAATAAAAAGACATCACTCTTGTCTAAGCCGGATACTACCTTCCAATGTATAAAACTAGCACATCATGCCCAAAAAACAGTTGCCTAAATAATATCAATAGTAGCTTTACCAAGAAAAACTTAATAACAGCACAAAAATCAGCATATTCCCAAAATCAAAGTGTAAGTAAATTTGTGAATGTATACAATCAAGTTTGCTTAAAAATTCAAGATTGGATGCATATTCAAGAATGCTAATGGTCATTAACCTTAATTATTTCAAAATAGGGCAATTGTTTTGATAAACATGCTATGCCAGCCTCACACATTGGAAGACGGGGGCAGGGAGTTATGTCTTGTTAATACAAGGGTGATGTCTTACAATCCCCTCTTTTTCCTTTTCTTTTTCGTTTTTATAAATAAAGAAATATATTTATGATTTTTTAATAGTAAATAAATATTTTATAAGATTTATATAAATTTATTCCTTAATGCGAACCAACTTGTTTATAATAAATTATAAATTAGTGAAAATAGTGACCATATCTTTTTTTATAACTAAATTTCTTATTTGTGGTTATGATATTTATTTATATAGTATTTAGTATGTCTATTTGCTTCAAAATATAAGTTAAATATTTTTTCTATTATTAAATTTTATTTTATTAAAAAATTAAAATTTTAATAAATTTATATATTATTTTAATTGAATTTTATATGAATTTTTTTATGACTTTTCATTCTTAAATTAATAGTTTTAGTAAGCATATTAATATATTGCAAGAGTCAATTATCTTATTTATATATGAATTTGTGCTGGTTTTTATTTTTATTTTTATTTTTCCTAAAATTTATATTAAAAAACTTTAATGCATTCAAAACTTTAACTTACAATAATAATAATAATAATAATAATAATGAATAAAAACAACAATATAAAGGCAATATTAATTAAAAGAGGGCAACATCAAGGACTTGAAATAAGAGAGAGTGATAAAAGAATTAATACATACATGTATAATAATAAAAAAATAAAAAATATCAAGAAAAGATAATCATAAAATAAAATATTGTAATGGTTATTATAAAATACAAAGAAACTAAAAAAAATCACACTAATTAAGACTAAAATATTTTATTGATTTCTTCTATTAGAACTTTAAACTATATTTATTATTAAATATATATAATTATTTCTTTATAAAATTTGAATATTTTTTTTCTTACAATCAAAACCTCCGACATACCAGTAAAGGATTTTATTTTCTATGATGTTTATTAATTTTTTATTTTAGCTTAAAATTTTAAAAATTGCTCTTAATTTTTTTAATGCAATACCCTAGTACACCTTGTTTTTTAAAATATAGATTTTGTTAAAATAGTGTATTGTTTTTACAGTAGATTCTTTTAAATTGCTTGTTAATTCAATCTTTGAAGTTATGAAATTATACTATATAAAATTTAGATTAAAAAGATTCTAATTGATTGTTATATAAATAGATGTACAAAGTCTTGCAAAAAAACTGATTTATTTCTGCTAAGTTAATTTGCATTTAATTTTTTTTATAAGCAACATACTATAAGTGCTGGATTTAACTGGAAAAGCCATTTAAAATGGATATTAAAATAGTTGATATCTGTTTAAGAAATTTGTTTGGAACCAAATAAAAGTAACATTAAAATAAAGATAAAAAAAATTTTGAATATTTTTTTTTAAAGATTTGAAGAGAATACAAAAAATATAAAACAACTTTGGTGACAATTAATGCAAGGATGAGATCAACTAAGATGTTTATCTATATTATTTAAAGATCTGAATAGACACATTGGAAAAAATAATTAAAATTAATACCAAAGTCAGTGATATTCTAATGTGAGTTATTTATTATTTGAATTAAACAAATAAAATATATAAAAGTACATTTAAATTTGGTACTTTAAAGCATATTAAGACTTCGATCAGACAGACTGACAGACAGACAGCATGGATGTAGTTAAAATATTTATTAAAGTACAAAATTCATGTTTAAAACAACAAAAGAAAAGGTTTTGAAAATCATCTCACTTGTTTTGCGAGATATTCACGTGCATCGATTCCAACTACATCCTAGCTGTTAACCACGGTGTGATGTCAATTTCACTGGGTTTTTGGATTAACGATTGAGCATATCTTGCGGATCTCGCCTTGCTTTCCTGTGAGAGGCTTATACTCGCTGATTTTGGTGTATGCATCTGCAAACGCATTGCCCCAGGCTGTTGCGTTCTTGGCGTACAGTTCGACGTATTCCAAGGTTCTGGGGTCCCAGATGAGGTTGTCGTCTATCTTCACAACTACTTTATTATTAAGTAAAGATAATTTCATATTTACTAATATGTATTAATTTACTAATAAAAATATCTAAAAGTAGATTTTTGAGTATCTAGATCTTCCATGTAATACATCACTTCAACCATAAAATTATTGTAGAAATATTGAAGAAGAATTCAAATAATATAGTTCAAAATTTTGAGTTCTTTTCAAATAACAGAATATGCATTTTAAAATTTTTCAATGAATTGGACTAGACTTAGCCATAAATTGTTCCATATAATATACAACAAAAACTAAGTCATACCTAATATAAATCACAAGGTATTATAGACTCTCAATAATGTGTGTATATAGAATTGATGCCATGAATTCAACATCCTCCTTCTTCCCATGAAGTTGAGACCTTAAAAAAATAAATATAAATCTCAAGAAGAGTAAAAATGATATGGTAGTTGTTCATAGAAAAATAATTTAATATATCCAATACATATTTGTTTTGAGAGAGAATTAAAGTGCAAGTAGCATGATTATAATACATTTGAATATCTGAGATATATTACAATATCTGAGATATAAATAATAAAAAAAATAGAAAAAAAAGTATTTTAATGAAAATGATGTATGATAAATCATTTGAGATTAAAACTAGATTATTAATATAAAGTTTAAGATAGATAGCAAATATAGGTGAACATTTATAATAAACATTGCTATCCAAAATATATTTTAAAAATCCATTAGTAATTAGAAAGTTATAAAAGAGATGATATTATACTTGAAGAGCTTTTTTTACTCTATATAAAGATTTAAGTAAATGATATACCTTATTTTCATAACTAAATATAATAAAGCCTTTGAATTGAGTGATATAAATCTCTTCTTTAAGAATCCCATTGAAGAAGGCTGTAAAGACATCTATTTGATGAATATGAAAGTCCTAATGAATAGCTAAAACAAAGAGAAGAAAAAAAATGTCATTTTAATAATAAGAAAGAAAGTCTCATGATAATCAAGGCTTTCATGTTGCGAGAGACCTCGAGCAACAAATTATGCTTTAAAGCATGCTTTGAACCATCAAAATCATATTTTTAATAGAATAGCCATTTAGTGCTTACAATAGAAGATTGAAAGAATAAGGTACCAACTTCCATGTGCTATTCTTAATTAAAGATTTATATTTTCTTTTTATATTTAGGTACCAATGAGCAGCATCTTTACTTTACAAGTAATTTATGAACTATAAGTGGATCTATCAAAGTTGCTAAAAATATCTTAATATATAAGGCGGTATTATTAGACTTAGGTGCTCTTTAAATTCTATAAGTGATCCAAGTGAATTGTGAAAGAAGTTTGCCCTTCAAAGAGTCACATAAAAGGTCAATGGAAGAAAGATTAGATGAATTGGGCATAGAACTAAAAGGGCCAACAATTACATCATTAGAGGAGAGAGAGACAATAGAATGTGATGAAGAAACTTCTAGTGCATCCATCAAGATAGCCTCTATATGATACCTAAGATCTATAAAGAATAGAAGTGCTAAATTGGAAGTTAGCCATAAGGGAGGGTCATCTAAATAGAAACAAAGAGACTTTATTTTTGACTCAAGTGATGTATCTAAATCATATAAATATGTAGGCACCTCTTATGGAGTTAATGGAGCCACTAATGAAGGTAAGGTGACTATAAGAGTAACTTTTGGTATTGTAGATGGTATATGGAGTGTCTATGGTAATCTTGGTGCACTAGGTAATACCATGTGCTCAATATTTGATAGTATAGGAAGATTATTCACTACTTCTAAGAGAAGAAGGGATTCTAGAGAAGTAATATGTTGGAATATAAAATCTTCATTGAAGATCATATCTCAACTTTCAAAGAGATTATGGATTTTTAAATCATAATCCTAATAGCCATTAATTCTAAGGGATTTGGCATGGCCAAGAAATAAATATTGATAAGTGAGAAGATATTAATATAGCATTGGATATTTTAACATAAGAAAAATACTCAAAAACTTATAAATGATGGAGGTTTGATTTAAGATTGGTCTACCTTTCACAAGGAATAATCTTTGACAAAGAAGAATAAAAAGATAGATTTTATAAATAGCAAGCAATAAAAACTACTTTGATCCAATAATTAATAGTAAGATTGGTTACATGTAAGGAAGTATAAGCCATATTGATAAGAGATCAATTTTTATGCTCAACTACACCATTTTGAAAAGAAATGTAAGAAGTCTTAAAATATCAAATAATATCATGAAATTTATAATAAATAGAAAAAAGTTTATTTATAAATTTTCTACCATTATTTATTTGAAGAATTAATAATAGTTTTTAAATTAAGTGATAATATGATGATGATATTTTTAGAAGATAAAAAAAACTTTGAATTTCTTTTTGAAAAAAAAGATTGTTCTAAAGCACAAGTAATTATTCAAAAATAATAGGAAATTATAAGTCCTTCCAAGAGAAAGAGTAGTCATAGTACTACAAAGATTGAAATAGACAAAGACCAATAATATTATTTCATATTTGGCTAGTATTTTGAATGAAGGCATTTTACTATATTTACTACATATACAACCTTGACAAAAAGGTACATTATGTACTAATAAAGATAATCTGGAAATAAGGTGATGGTATGTTATGTATTGCATATTGAGATGATTAAGGTGCCCCAATTGGTAATGCCACAATATCAAAATATTGCTTGAATTAGAAATAGGCTAAGTAGAAGGATATTAGTTGATGTCTAGGATCAAGCTTCTCTAAGCAATAGTGCTTTAAAGAACCACGTTAGCAAGGACTTTCTTAGCTTGAGCCCTATGAGCTTGAGCTGCATTAAGCTAAGTCACACTAATAGAAACTGAGGCTAGGTAGGCTTAAGTGATATTGACTAGAGCCATGCTTGCTTAAACAATAGCCAAGCAGGCCCCTGCCTCATGAAGATTATTGTAAGGAGCAAATGCAATGTAAAACAAGAGATCTTCATCATGGTTTGGCAAGAAGGTATCCAAAGTTGTCATTGCTATAGCAACAAGATTGAAAGAGGATAACATTACCACTATTCTTCCATAAAGATTTGTGATTTTTGGCATCTTTATGACAGCAAAAAAGCTCGTAACTATCGTTGCCATCAAATCTCTATGATGATTTGTGGCCACCATTTATTAGGATTTATATAACAATAAGGTAGAGAGAGAGATTGTATAAGCTCTCTATGGCTATTAAATTGGATCTTAGATTTTTGTAACCTTTAATAGAAATTAAATAGTTCTCGAGAGGAAAATTTGTATGTAGAATTTCATTATTGCTGGGATTTTAAATTCAAAATTGATTAAATATAGGATCAATGGTAAGGTTGTTGGCCAGTGGATTTGGATTGATAGCCATCACTTGCAGTTACTTGAGGTCCATAATTATAAGGCAAGGATGAAAGCAAGAGCAATCAACAACCTATTTTGGAATAATAGTCAAATTTGGATTAATAATTACAAGATGAGGATAATTTGCAATCAACTTTGGATTAACAGTGGTTATTAAGCATTTATGATTATTTTCATGTATGTGAGAATGTGTAAGATCTCTCAAAGGAGACATATAATTGTTGGCTCTAGAATCTAGATACCACAATTAAACAAGAGTATCAACAAATACTACAATAAATAGGTGTAATGGTGCCTTAATATGATAAGATCTTACAAGCATTGATTTCTTTATTTGATCTCTTTGTTTCTTATGTCATTGTAGGAATTTATATCTTTATTTTCCATTGTAGTGACAAATGATATTTTTAATTGGTTAATTAAAATAAAAAGAGTAAGATGGCTTAGAATAATATTATCAAAAAAAATTACTATTTGATTTTAGAGTGTGTGAGGATCTATTATTCTTAAAAAAAATTCCTTTTATATAAAATACACTAATTTTTGACTTGTCATGTTTTAAATAATTAGTAGTTATTTGTTATAATATATTAGAAAATAATATTAAAAAAGATAAATTACTAATTACACCTTAGATAGTAATAATCATATTTTATAAATTAAAAATAGTAGCTAATAATAAATTGACTTATTATGATTCAATGAAAATACAACCAATAGTAATAGCTTCCTTGAGGATATATTGCCAATTTTCAATGAACATATAAATATCTTCATTCTTATCCATTGTTAAATAAGAAAGCTTCTTATAGAAATGTACCTAAGAAGATTTATTTGATTATTTATAAATATACTTAATATGATCTCAAACTATCTTGGATGTAAGTAGTCTGCATAATATCATGAATTATTTTCCTCCACAATGCAAAAGTATTTCTATAGGCTTTTAGACATCCTTCAAACTTAAGGTATGATATTGTACCAAATTTTTTGCACCAAGTACCACCTTAGTGCCATTAACCACTTTCTATAATTCCACTTGACTTAAAAGAGCCTCCAATTTAATATTCCAAGTGCAATTGTTATTTGTAGAGAATGAAGGTATTAATAGAGAGTGAGAAGTATTATAAAAAGATATATTAGGAGATTGAAGGAAAAATTAATACTCTGATAACAAGTAAGAGAAAGAATACTAAGAATGATAAAATAAAACATGAAGTATATTAATAAAATAACTTGATTACATTATAATGATAAGAGCCTTTTATTTTGTTTCATGGAGAGAAGTAGTTATAACTTCTTTACAACTACTTTGTAACTACCCAAATGTAATTCTATATTTACTAACATGTAATAATTAATCTAATATATATATTAGTAAATCTAACACACAACTCTTGGAAATCGCTGTGATCCAAAATCCAAAGGTAGGTTCTTATTATAGAAAAATACTTGCCGATTTTGTTGATTGTTATTGCAGGAATAGAATGGTCAGAATCTTAAGCACATCACTCATCATTAGCTTGATCTTGCACTGTTGTTCAGCATTGAAGGTGTTGTTGAAATTGTGCTTTCTCCGCAGCATGATTCCAACAACGTACTGGTCTCGAAAGTGAGTTATTTTGCCTACGGTTTAAATTTTCACTCTGGTATGTAACTGTGTCAATTTCAACAGTGACGTAGAATATGTGAACCTCCAGGTTGGCGCCTCCAGGCTCCGATGTGAACTCCACGAACTGCAAAAGTTATGAACTGCGATTCAGGAGAGCACAGTCGCTTTTGGTTATTTCGCTCCAGTTCTAGCGTCGTGCCAATGATCAGTCGACAGGTATTGGATCAGATAAGCCGCAACGGCGCATGATGGGGAGGAATTGAACCAAGTGTAATCGGAGTTGCAGATCCGCAGAGAAGGTCGTCGCCAGAGACCAGGCGCGAACAACACTGCGACCGACGGGATATACCTGGTTGTGGACCATTCACAGGACCCTTGGCCAAGTCCACGAGCTAGATGTTGACCGGTGTATCTCTCGTATCCAGTGAACGTCGCAAACGGCGATCGGCTCAAGATCACGGAGGCATGGACGAGATCTTGATTATTCTAGAACTAGAACCGCAATTGACGAGTCGCTGAACTTGGTGGTCGAAGGAGAGAAGCTTCCGGCCTGGCATTGCAGTCCGATGCATGGTTCGTGGAGCTGGAATTCATGGATTGTTAATCATGAATGTGCACTGCCGATCTCGAGCTGAGAGAGCTCGGCGCGGCACCGACACAACCCAGTTCACGACCAGGGTGGGATGAATCTTCATACGAGATTGTAAGGCTGCCTCGCTTCCGCACCATCAGCCTTTGGGGAGATGGTGCAAAAATTAGGGATTCTGCTTCCAGATTCCCCGTTGCTTCTCACATGTGCATTTATTTTTTAAATCTGTGATTTATTTTTAACACATAAGGAGGTATAATTGTTGTATCAGTTAATAAGTGTATTAAAGTACCCGAGTGTCCGATTTTTATTGTTGGAACAGTAAAAATCCGATTTTCATTGAGCATATTATCTTATCTTGAATCATATATCTATCTTAGTTGGTTCTTTTGTATGCATCTAGATTGTAAATCACTAAAGTGCTACCAGAAACTCTTTTGTTTTATCTATGGTCATTTTATACTTAGGTTCTATAATCTTTTCTTACTTATTTTTCCATTTATTAAGAAACATGTTAAATTTCAACTATTTCTAAAAACAATCTTGATGTATTCTACCATATTTATCCAAGCTATTTAATATGTAGTGAAATTTCTTCTTCTTGTTCTATATTTGTTTTCAAATGTCTTAATATATCTTTAGATGTATATTATCTAAAGGCAAATCCTTTAAGTAATAACTTTGTTGTACTTAGTTTAAGTATTTAAATTATAGAAAAGATACTTAGGCAAATATTATTTTTTCTATTAAGAATTCCAGCAAAGGCTCTAATTCTTTTAAACTTGTTCCAAGATTACTCATAACTCAAATGGCTTAATCTCATTTCTAATATGGTTTTATGCACTCATAAAATCTATGTAAAATTAATTTAAGAAATAAAAATGCATACTTGCATTGAAAGTAGGAAAATGCTTAGATTTATTTTGCTTGTCATATATGAAGTGATATTTTTTGATATCAAATTATCTAGATTGATAAAATCAAATTAATTTAAATTAATTCAATTATTTTTTTCTTTAATTATTGAAGTATATTAATTTAGATTTTTTAAAAAAAATATTAGATTTATTTTATAGCTAGCATATAATTTTAGCATACTTGCTTTTTATTTGATAAAAGTACTCATTTTAGTACTCGATCATTTTATTTTTTTAAATATAGCTATAAGATTAAATTTAAAATTTGAAAAAAATTTATAAAAATAAAAAATAAAAAGGTATATGACAACCTTGCTATATGCCATGTTGAATTTTAAACCATTGTATTAGACTTCTATTTATATGATTTTTTTTTTTGTTAAATAAATAATATTTTAATTAGTTTCATAAATTATTAATATAAACTTTTTTTGTGACTTAAAATAAGAAAATTAAAGATAGTTTCTTATAATTATATAAAACATTTGGTTTTAAAGATATAAAAATATATACATATATTGTTTTTTAGAAATTAATACTTTGACTAGGATTCTTACTAAACTGACAAGGATTTGATTATAGTGTCTTATTATATACCACATAATTTTAATACATATATTTTTTTAAATTGATATATACATATAATTTGAACACATAATAAAATACTAAATATGCATATTGATTTAAAGATATTGTGGTAATTTGATATGTATATAAAGAATCTTTATAATGTATATACATATCAATTTATAAATATGATATATTAATTTATTTTTAACACTTCAATTAATTTTAACATTTACCAATAATAAATTTTAATATTTTTTTGTTCTCCTTTAATACAAAAATATTATATTTTAAAATTATGTAGTACAAAATAAAATATTGTCACCAAAACTTGATTAATTTAATAAAAATCCTGATTAATATATTATTTTAAAAAATTTCTTGTATAATTAGTAATTTATTATATTACTATCATATATCTTATGATAATTTTAAATATTAAAAAATATGTATTTAATTTAAACTAATAGGTTTATAAATATTAATTTTAATTTAATTTAATGATGATTTTGTAAAGATATATTTTATTAAATAGTTATTTTTAATTATCTAAAATAGATATATTTATTTTTACAAATAAAGATTTTTATATACAATAAGTTGAGTGCCAAAAATCAACATCAAGTATTCAATCTAAACCAAATAAGAATACACAAGCAACACATTGTCAAGAAAAAAATAAAAAAATCTAAAACCAACTTAGTCAAGCTACCTCTTATATCACAAAGGGATAAACAAAGACTACAAGTATATAGGAAAAATCCTAAAATTTTATTAAATAATAAAGTTACTATAGCCAAGAAAAATCTTACAAATATACACTTTATTTTTTTTCAAAGCACTCAAAAGAAATGACTTGACAATAATTTCAAGTTAAGAGAATTTTTTCACTGAAGTCTTTAAATCCTACTTGACACTAACAAGGTCAATAAAAAAAAATGCTAAGTACATGAAAATTGACTAAATTAAAAATAATTACATATATTTAATATAATTTAATACTTGATATTACATTATATGATAATTTCTTTTTTTTTTTACAAATTAGTAATATATGATCTTAAACAATATTTGTCCTAAGATCATGATAGTTATAAATGTATCAATAGACAATAGAAATTATCACAATATAATATTGATGTGTTTCCAGAGACATATGCTACCTTTAAATTAGCAAAAGACACTTAACAGAGAGACAATAGCACCATGTTTATACTAATTTCAATAGAACTAATGACACTTATTTTTTAAGTAAAATAATCTATAATTATGTATGTAATTGAAAAGACTATGGAATATAATGAAACTATTGGCATTTAAGGTGCTATTACACAAAAGGCTGATCATTCGAATAATAAGAGCCTTGAAGTCCCTCCAATGGCTTATTATGTGTATAAATTTTTTCTAAGTATCACTTAATATCTTATTTTTGCTGTAGTATCATTATTAGTTACCATAGTAGCTTTTACTTGTGCAACTTTGCAAAATCTATTACTATTTTGTAATTGTAATAACTCAAAGTAACTCCTAAAGGTACAACTTTACTTAGAATATTTGCCGATATCATTGTAGAGCTAATATTTTACTCTTGTTGAAAGCTTAGATTCTATCTTCAAATGCGTGGTTTTTTTTTTAATTTTTTTTTACCGATTTGTTTGATTATTTATTGAACAAGTAATAAGGTCTTTGATACTTGTGAGAACAATTGAATGTGTATTAAAGAGGTGGTTGGCCTTTGTACTATTTAACTATGATTGAGGCAACAGCATGGTACAAACTATTTTTTTTGTCTTTTTCCTTAGTTGCTAATGCATGTTTGTATATATCAAAGACTATTTTTTCCAATAGCATGTTGTATATTGAGTAATTGGTATTTGCTTTCTAATCTTTATATAAATAGGTAAAATTCTATTTTTTTTGAAAATATACAAACACTACTTCATTAGCTTCTTCTTAATTATTGGCTATACTCTCTTTATTAAGGAATTCTTTTCTTAAATCTTCTCTTAATTTCAATAATTTTTTTTGTCATAGTTGATGGAACATAGACTATAACAAAAGAGTAATATGATAGATGCAAATTGTATTTCTAAATCATTTTTATATTCTCCTATTATACAATAATATGATTATATAATAAAAAATAAAAATATAGATTTTATTATAGAAGAATCTAATATAAAGATATACTAAAAAAATAAAGATATGAAATAAGAAGATAATAAAAAATTTAACTTAAATGCTATTTTTTGTAAAAGAGATTTTATTTACTTTATAGGACCATAAATGAGTCAAATCAAAGTAAAAAAGATAAATAATTGATATAGGCATGTTTAGAAATATTTTGAACTAAGGTCGAAATCAGACCTCAAGGTACAAAATGACTTTGCTAGCCACATATCTTAAATTGTAAGGTAAGTTAAACCTACATTGACTCCATGATCTTTTGAATAATAGAAGAGAAGGATTTGAAAGTAGGTAGGAGAAAGATTCTTTATTGTCAAGGACATGAATTTCAAAAAAAGAAAATCTTCAATACACTCTTGTGTCAATGAGGAGAACTAGAAAGTCATTCAAAAGGTGATGTAATATTAAACTAGAATGACTATTGCCAAAAACAAGAAGATTAGAAAGTCTTGAAACAAGACTAAGACTAAAAAGGTGTTGACAAGAGTGAAAAAGGTTTCACTTTTACCTCCATATATACTCTCTGATTAAGAACTACATGGCAATATTCTATAAGACTTCCAACATGTGTTGACTTTACTAGCCACATATCTTAAATTGCAAGGCAAGTTATCTATGTATGTGCCACATTGTTAGCTTGTTCCACAAGCTAATATATGGAATTAATTTGTTCCACAAGCTACTACATGGAGTTAATTTGTTCTATAAGCTACCAACACGTCGTTAACTTGTTGGCCAAGTTTTTATCCTACAAATACATCTAAAGTCAAAATCACATCTATAAGGCTTCTAAAAAGCTTCTCTAGAAGGCTTTATATAATTAATCTATATTTATCTACTTCTACCTAATCATATAAGTAACTATTGGAGTAAATATACATATTTGTAATATTTATATATCAATTTTAAGGAATTTGAGTGCATAACAACTTTGTAAAGGTATTTCAAAGTTAGGTTTTTTTTTGAATGACTTTGGATTTTGAAAATTCAAAAAAAAAAATTACTTAAAAAAATTATGTGAAATTTATAAATCATCTTTGATTAAAATTTTATAATTAAATGATAATTATTATATGTAATTTATATTATAAGTTTGAGCTTGATATAATAGTTTGTGCAAAGTTTATTGAAGCTCAAATATATTGAGGTCTCAAAAATTAGGATTTAAAAGACTAGTAAGGATTTCTAAGATATCTATCAATCTATTAGTTGGATTAAAATAAATCTTTACGTTATTATATTGCAATAAGATTATATGATGAAAATACAATCAAAAATAAATTTCTAATTAATATTTGATTATCTTGGTTCA